TACTGGAAAGAGGGAGGAGACGAATATGATTTGGGTATGTATCAGAGAAGAGTAAGAAAATACAGGGCACTGCAAGGAAGTCCATAGAGATTCTATCTACAAAAATCAATCTAGTATGGAAACAAGTGATTATATAAACTAATAGGTTCAGCCGTTCTTTGTATTGAAATAAAATTCTCCTGTGGCCTGGTTCTAGAAAAGCCCAAGAGAATGAAGAAAAACATGGTGTTAGGGCACGCCTGGAGGGAGGTGCTCAGGGCCTTGAACCTGTGGCATATGGTTGAAAATACTTGCCGTATGCCTGTATTCATGAGGGTTAGGCTCAGTTGCAACTAACAGAAACTTTAAAGATTTAGATTACCAAATTTACCTGTAAGACGGCATCTGAATTAAATATGCACACTGGAGTGTCAGGTTCAGGAAACAGTAAATGTTCTTGTCAGAAAATACGAGAGGCTTTAGGGAAGATCCAGGACCCAGAATGACCATCTTTAAGGATGGATTTTCTGTTTTTACTGTTGATTGTAGACAAGGGAAAACTCAAGACATTCCATCTTGTATCAGGTTTGCATGTTTGGCCTCAAACTGTATCAGTTAGAAGATCTTTGTTTATTTTCACTCTGCCCTTCTTGAACTGTGCAGAGAACAAATGCTGTAGTCCCGGTTGCCGATAATTTTAACCGCACTACAAGGTTAGTTACTCCTGTGTGCTGAGACCTTGGAGTCCAGACAGGAGCCTTTGAACACGTTATTTTGGTGCTAAGCTGCTTTGGAAAGAGTCCAAACTAAATGGTTGCTAAATGTGTTCGGCGGTTCCAGCATGGTGCCACTCAATGAGTGAGGGTTCCAGAACCTCATTCCTCTCTAAGACTGAGGTTAATGCAGCATGGAGTATACTTCCAGGTACACACAGTGTCTGGGATGCCGGGAACTGTGCCCAGACCAGAGACATCAATAGTGTTGCAGTGGGTACCTGCATGGCAGCTCAGAAGGTTGGCGGGAGGGCTTGTACTTGGCTGCTGTGTCCCTCTGCTGCTTCTTTTGAAGCTCATCGACAACCCCCCCTTGCTCATGGGACAGACCCAGTCCTCTCCTTTCTGCACTGGTTCCCACCACCACAGCCTTGATGTTTCTCCACCCCGTGCTTCTCATACTGGTTCCCACGACCTAGGAGTTTCTCCATCCCATATTCATCATAATGGCGCACCCTTCATCTCATTACTTCGTTATCCTGATGAGACTCCTTGATAACGTCTACACTCTCACCTCTTCTCATCTTCTCCTCAATTTCTCAGCCGTCTGAAATATGACTTCTGTATCCAGCACTGCATGGTGAGCTCCTGTGAACGCACCAGTGGACTTCTACGTAAGAAGCACTATGAGCGTGCTTCGGTCTTTATCCAAGTGAAGTTTTTTTAACAGCTTATCGATAACTCCCCTCTGAAATTCTATCCACTCTGACATATATTTCTCCTGATTCTCCTCCTGCGCCTCTGTGTACAGATAGTCGAATCAAATAACTCTTGAAAGAGAGAACATCAAATAAATAAAACCCAGCTTGTGTTGGTAGCAGCCACATCTCTGGATGGTACTGTTCATCCAAAAGAGGTCATTCCCCATGGATGATAGAAGCATCGTTGCTGTGCATGGATGCAGTCATTCGGTACAGTTTACATCACTGCGATCAATTATCAGCATAATTGATAATGTCATTACATGGCATAAAAACATTTTAAACAGTATTTGTATTATAACTGATACTGTTCTTTAATAACTATGAAAAGCCTTTGATTACTTATTGTAATACAGTAATGTGATTTTGTCCATGATATGCTCTCACCACTATTCTAATAAAATTATTTTGGTTGTTTATACAGTACTGTAATTTGTGTAATGGTTAGTTACTTAGTAAGTGACTAGATAGTTAATTCCTTGCAGAGACAAGAATCATGTCTTTATCTTGGCAAACCTTAAAGGATCTTGGATGTAGTAGGTTTTCAATAAATTATATTGAATTAAAATGTTAGGCAGCTTTTTAAAATCAAAGTGAGACTGAAAAGATCCTGTACGGTAGTAAAGTCTCCATTAGTCTTGTGATATGCACCTAACACCCAGTATTCATGGCCAACAATATCTTACAGATTTTCTAATAACTAGGAGATACAAATCATAGCCGGATGTAGAATTAGTATGACATGACTTGTGATTTTCTAGTTTATATAACAGCCAAGTTACATAGCCATAGATTCAACGGCAGTATTTTCTCCAAGTCACAATATATTCCCAACTATCCTGGCAAATAAATAAGACACACACATCCGAGTAGCAATGAAGAAGACAGCATATGAAAATCAAACATAGCCTATAGAAGAATCCCAGCTTCCCACCTATAACTGCATGTGCTTTGCACCACATCGGAAAGATGCCATTTATTTCTGACTATGATTAATGGTTCTTCTTAGGCAGCCAACTTTCTTTGCCGTTTAACAAAGATTGTGTCCTAAGGTTTTGTCTTATTTCAATTCTAGTGCCATTTGTAAATCTGACAAATCAGATAACAAAATATTCAATTTGAATTATAGTTTTGTTTATGAGTGTGAATCTTGAAATATCTCTTATGTAACTGGGAACATACATGAATTTCATCCGAAGGTTTGTGGCTGTACATTCTGTAAAGGTCCTATAGGCAGGAAAATAACAACCTGGATGTCTAGTAGTGATGTGAAGCCTGATCGCCACATGATGCCAAAAACAAAAATAAAAATAAAAAGGAAATATATAAAGAACCAAGCCAGCTGTGAACTGATCCCAGGGCGCAGGATGACTACTTTGGTATGTGTGGTCGGTATTTATCGTCTTTTACGACATGCAAAAAAAAAAAAAATCAAACAAAATGTCTTTGAATTATTTTGGTATGACACTAAATAAAAGGAGAAAGAGGGAGAGTAAGATGTCAATTGGAATTTTTAAAAAGAATATGTTGAGGTATCAAAAATGACAAACACTGCCTCGCTTCCTATCAGAGAGCAAGTCCCTGTAACAGAATAAATGAGGCATGAGCATGTTACATAGGTGTCAGACAGCAAACAGGGGAAGAGTAATGGGCTTGGGGTGGGGGCCGAGGGGAATCTAGGTAAGATCCGAAAAGATGGTTACCGGCATGCGTTACAAAAGGGAAGACTAAATGGAGCACTGGATAGACCAGAATAATTACAGGGTAATTAACATGCCCTCTGTCTTCCTCTTTGGGGAATTTTTTTTTCAGTTAGATAGAAATGAATCCTGACTGCCACAGTATTTCATTTGGCAGGATATCAGGTAATTTATATTTCAAATATGATCTCATCATCAGTTCCATCTGTTGGTATTAACCAAGCATCCGTAATGTTTGAAACTCTGACTTGTAGAAAATATACCTGAGAATCCGAATCCTTGAATTTGAGAGACTCATACCAATCAGAAACCTGAATAAATGCCCTCTTATCTTGCAAGTGCTGTGTATTCATTTTAAGTCTTCACTTTTAATCCACCTGGTTCTACACTCTGACTCCAGGGACCAAGGGAGGGAGAAACCACCGTCAGCTGCCATAGGATGAGCTCCAATCAGTGTTAGACCTTCTTTAAAGAGGATGAGCATATTTTTTTTATGCTAAGCCCCAAGTAGAAAAAATCACTGGCTACCAGGCTCTGATTGTAACCAGTTCTTATTTATTGGCTATTCATAGTTTCAAAGACTTTTCCCTTCTTCTTGCATGCAATTGAAAACTGAGAGCTAGAAAAAGCAAGATTTCAGGACAGTGTTGGCATGAAGAAACACTCCAGGGGCTGTGTTCCTAAGTTTGCCCCAGCTTCCTTAACCCAGACACTGACCTCCCTTCCCTTCTGTGCTGGTGAATACAGAGGGATGTGGACCAACAGCAGGGCACAGATCACCCCATTCTCTGGAAGGCTGTCTCCAGCTAATGAACACTCCCTTTTTCAGCAAGCTTGGATGAGTCTTCTCAACCTTCAGGACCTGGTGCAAGTTCTGCCTCCTCTTTCTCATGTCCCAGCCAGGCAAATTTAACCAAACCTTCCCCTGGGCCAACACTGGACACTGGGTACAGCTAGCATCACAGTGTCTTCAGCTGAGCTGCATGTGTTTATTTGAATGTCTTTCTCCTCTACTAGATCATGAGTTTGAATGCCTGGGGCCTCACCTAGTAGCCCTTCAATTCACCCGCAATCCATATCATCCCCCTGCTAAGAGACAAAGAGTTAAATAATGCCTTCTCCCCAGAAAGGGGGGTGAGGGTTGGGGGAAAAAATAATAATGCCTCCTCCATTCACAGTAATGGGTCCTCAATAAATACTGTTGCATTGGTTTTTAATATCTTTTCCATAGCTGAACCCAAACATGTCGTTACTGCCTTGCTCAGTTGATCAAAATTAATCCTGTCCAGTGAGTAGAATTAACAAAAAGAATTTATCAAATTCTTATTGACTACAGGTGGTACTGAATTTGGTTTTTGGTTTATTTCATCAAAAATGTGTCTGAAGCAATGTAATGTTCTCCAGTAGAGGGATTGTGAGAGCTTATTCAAGGCATGGTGTTCTTCCTTCATTCGAGCAATATTTTTTTTTATTTATTTATTTGAAAGAGAGAGAATGAGAGAGAGAGAGAGCACATGAGAGGGGGGAGGGTCAGAGGGAGAAGCAGACTCCCTGCCGAGCAGGGAGCCCGATGTGGGGCTCGATCCCGGGACTCCAGGATCATGACCTGAGCCGAAGGCAGTCGCTTAACCAACTGAGCCACCCAGGCGCCTCTCGAGCAATATTTTTTAAGGAGTGTTGCCCCAAGAAGAGAAAGCAAAAACCACTCAGATCTTTAAGTTTCTAAGCATTTATTGTATATTTGCAGCATAAAAATGTTGACATAGACTCAGTGCCTGCATAAGTTATTAAGGAGGAGGAGTGAAAGTATGTTTTTAGTAACCCTTCTGGATTTTTTTCCCCACTAGGGTACTCAATACTTCAAGCTATTATGGAAAAAGCAGGACAAAATGGTTGGCATGTCAGCGCTATATGTGTGGAAAATTTTAATGATGTCAGCTATAGGCAACTTCTAGAAGAACTCGACAGACGACAAGAGAAGAAATTTGTAATAGACTGTGAGATAGAGAGACTTCAAAACATATTAGAACAGGTAAGTCCTGGATTTTATATTATTATTACCATAGACCTTCTACAAAAAGTGGACTTTTGATTTACTTTTTTCCCATCAATATTTTCTCCAAACCATTTAGTCTGAAGTGCAGAGTTCAGGAATTTTCATTCCATGATTCATCTCTAAAACTAGATCATAATCCTTTATCACCAAAGGCCATTTTGGCTCGTAGGTCTCAGTGCAGTGAGGAGCACGATTTCTCACACATTTTAAAGACCTACCATAGCAAGGATCTTTTGTGAATCACCAAGAGCTCTTGGCCTCCTACGTTCATAAACATTAATTTTGAAGATTAATTGAAGATTAATGCCATCTAGAATCTTAGAAAGTTTTAGTATTCATGACTCTGTGCCTTTTCTAACCTTCAGAAAAATAGCTACACGAGAACTAATAACATGAAATAGTAAAGCAATGAAATAAAAGAAAGTTAAATGGCGCACTGTGCATAGCATATCTTCTTCTAGATGTTTTCAGTGCATTACCACTACAGTGAAAATGGTTTTCAGCTCTTTTCACAAATGAAGACTCCTTTGATAAATCTTTCAATAGTCGTTGATTTGATTTGAAGCAGACAGGAAAAGGTAAAATTGAGCTTTGTTATTGTGTTAAATGATAGGAAAATATCATCAAATGATGGGTAACATTTGCCTTCCTCCTAACCCTACATCTCCCGATCAGCTTCAAGCTGTATTTGGCCAAAATTGCAGTGAATGATTGCCACCTAGTGGTTTCAGAAATGTATGCTCCTGCTGACCTACGGTGAGCCGTTCTGGCTAAGGCAACATTGTCGCATGATGTCTTGTTGGTTACTTTGCTACATATAGTTTGCATAATAATATGATGTGATTTGTAGCAGTAAACTTAGAAATTCGTAGGTTTATTTATAACAATAACTTAAGTACTCAAATAGAAAAAGCAAAACCGAAATATGTTTCAGAGATTCCTCCTTCATATCAAAGGGCCCTAAACTAGATGCCTTTCAGTTTCCCTCCTCAACTATATCAGAATTTGTAAAAGTTAAAAGTGAAAAAGCATGCGGTATTTCTTTTTCAAGGTCTGGTGAAGCCAATCTATACTGTAAGAGGAAACGATAGTATTCACTTCCTGTTAAGTTTTCATAGAAGAAAAAAACTTGATTGAAGAAATATATTTATATTATATTGGAACACATTCATTATAAACCTGTATGCCACTCAGCTTTATCCCTGAGGGACTCCAAAAAAATAAGTTTGCAGCTATTCAAGCAAGGTATATAGAATTTTTAAGCGTGTATTTATGGAATCCAAGAAAAAACTTTTGTACTTTCTTAGGCAAGACAGTCACTTCAGCTCAAACTCTGTTCTCCCTCCCTCTCACTCCCACCCCCGTGTTGAGAGTTGAGTTGTTTGATGTGAACAGCTGAAGCTTTGTAAATACCTCCTCATGAATCCCACAGAGCAGTCAATTCTGAGAACTGCCCAGATTGCCAAGTTCCTGTCAGAGGGCGAGGAAGGCTCAGAAAGACCCTCCACTTACCACCTGTGCTTAAAAGACTGTCTGAGAAGGTAGTGGAATGCCTACAGCACACTGACCCATTTCGGAGGCTTAGCTAGTTTCTAAGAGGAGAATCGGCGTGCCCCCGCGCTTTGGATAAACTCTGATAACAAGCCTTAAGGAAAATCTTGCTTAGGGGAACAGGACAGCGTTTTTTGTCATCTCAAAAATATTGTTTTTATATTCTTAGCCTTATTGAGATATGACTAACATACGATGTTGTGTAAGTTTCATGTGACAGTATGGTAATTTGATACGCTAATGTATTGTGAAGTGTTTACCATAGCAGGGCTGGTGAATGAACAATTCTGTCCCTTCACATGGGTACCATTTTTGATGGGGGGGGGGGGCGATGAGAATATTGAAGATCTGCTCTCCTAACAACTTTCAGATATATAATACGGTATTGTTAACTATGGTCACTGTGCTGTACAATAGATCCCCAGAACTTAGAAAACTGAGTGTCTACCTTTTCTGTGTCTCTTCTTGCTGGATTCTAAAAGGTTTCTTTTCTCTCATGACTGCATAGTAATAATGAGACTTTGTCCCTTTAAAATGCCTCTCAAGGATAAACCTAATCAATTGTACAGTGTCTCCTGTATTATGAGAACATAATATACTCTAAATTGTCCTATAAAACTTTCCCTAAGAAAAGATGTTTTCTGATCCTTAATATGATTTTTTTTTTACTACCGATACTTTAATTCCTTGTAGCTTTAAGCCAAATCATTTTTAATGTTTCTTGGTTTTACTCTTGACTCATCCAAACACAAGAGCTAATCCAAACTGTGTCAGGAGTTTCTACATGTACTTTAATACCCCCATATTTCTGCAGCCTCTTTAATAATTTGAGGTAACAGTGGAAAACAATTGCAGAGAATCAACCAATGCCTTTTTTAAAAAAGTAAAAATGCTAAATAATCTTGATCAGAAAAATGCTTTTGAAACGAAGTAGCTATCTTTCAGAAGATGGTGAAGTTAATATAATGAAGATAAGGGGATGTGTTAGTAGATTATAGAAAGATGAGCACGCTTAATATTGGCATGTGACCAATAACTGCTTTGTGGATATTTTAATTCGTATAATTTTTCAAAAACATAATAGAAATGGCTCCCACAATTTTCTCTTAAAATCTGTGAATGGACAACTGTGTTTAGAGAACCACTTCATCTTCTGCACATGTTTTCCAAATTATTTTTATGTCACAAACTAATTAGTTCTTATAAATGTATTACTGTTTATTTTTTTAGCATCGCTTTTCTTTAATCACTGCCCAGAAGAGTTATAGGATGTATCTGAAATTTCAAATTAATTACAATTAGTTGTTTTAAGAATTTTACATTATCTTTTTAACTTAATTATAAAAATTCTAAGGCAGTAGATCTCAAACAATAGTAGGCTTAAGAATCACCTGGGGTGAGGTGTCAGCTTTGCTAAAAATGCAGGATTTTGTCCGTATCTTTAGATAGTTTGCTTGAAAAAGTCTGTCCTGGGACCCAAAACACTACCATAAGAACAAAACTGTAACTAGAAATCTATGATAAGGACAACAACAAAACTAAGATGTTTATTAAAGCTAAAATTCTTTCTATAAAGGGTGAGTAAATTAATGTTTCATATCTATACTTTTAAATGTGTGCTATATTTTTTTGAGCTTCAGTGGGCTTATTTTTTAATGTTTCAAGTTTTTGTTTAAATTGTAGTTAGTTAACATATAGTGCAGTATAGTTTCCAGAGTAGAATTTAGTGATTCATCACTTATATATAACACCCAGTGCTCATCCCAAGTGCCCTCCCTAATGCCTGTCACCCTTCCAGCCCATCCCCTTCCTACTTCCCTCCAGCAACCCTCAGTTTGTTCTCTATAGTTAAGAGTCTATTTTATGTGCTGCCTTCCTCTCTCTTTTTTTTCTTTCCCTTATGTTCCTCTGTTTTGTTTCTTAAATTCCCATATGAGTGAGATCATATGGTATTTGTCTTTCTCTGACTGCCTTATCTCACTTAACATTATACTCTCTAGCTCCATCCATGCTGTTGCACATGGCAAGATTTCATTCTTTTTTGAGACTGAGTAATAGTCCTGTGTGTGTGTGTGTGTGTGTGTGTACCACATCTTCTTTATCCATTCATCAGTCGATGGACACTTAGGCTGAATCCATAGTTTGACTATTGTAGATAATGCTCTATAAACATCAGGCTGCATATATTCTTTTGAGTCAATCTCTTTGTATCCTTTGGGCAAATACCTGTAGTACAATTGCTGGGTCGTATGGTAGCTCTATTTTCAACTTTTTGAAGAACCTCCACACTGTTTTTCCAGAGTGGCTGCACCAGCTTGCATTCCCACCAACAGTGTAGGAGGGTTCCCCTTTCTCCACAACCTCGCCAACATCTGTTGTTTCTTGTGTTGTTAAATTTAGCCATTCTGACAGGTGTGAGGTGGCATCTCATTGTATTTTTGATTTGTATTTCCCTGATGATGAGTGCTGTTGAGCATTTTTTTATGTGTCTGTTAGCCATCTGTGTGTCTTCTTTGGAAAAATATCTACTCATGTCTTCTGCCCACTTCTTAACTGGATTACTTATTTTTTGGGTGTTGAGTTTGATAAGTTCTTTACAGATTTTGGATACTAACCCTTTATCAAATATGTCACTTGCAAATATCTTCTCCCATTCTGAAGGTTGCCTTTTAGTTTTGTTGATTGGTTCCTTTGCTGTGCAAAAGTTTTTTTATCCTGATGAAGTCCCAATAGTTCATTTTTGCCCTTGCTTCCCTCGCCTTTGGAGACGTGTCTAGTAAGAAGTTGCTGTGACTGAGGACACAGAGGCTGCTACCTGTGTTCTCCTCTAGGATTCTGATGGTTTCCTGTCCCACATTTAGGTCTTTCATCCATTTTGAATTTATTTTTGGTATGGTGTAGGAAATGGTCCAGTTTCATTCTTCTGCATGTGGCTGTCCAGTTTTCCCAACACCATTTGTTGAAGGGACTGTCTTTTTTTTCCATTGGACATTCTTTCCTGCTTTGTTGACGATTAGTTGACCGTAGAGTTGAGGGTCCATTTCTGGGCTCTCTCTTCTGTTCCATTGATCTATGTGTCTGTTTTTGTGCCAGTACCATACTGTCTTGATGATGACAGCTTTGTAATAGAGCTGGAAGTCCGGAATTGTGATGCCTCCAGCTTTGGTTTTCTTTTTTAAGATTGCTTTGGCTATTTGGGGTCTTCTGTGGCTCCATACAAATTTTAGGATTGTTTGTTCTAGCTCTATGAAAAATGTTGATGGTATTTTGCTAGGTACTGCATTGAATTTGTAGATTGCTTTGGGGAGCATAGACATTTTAACAATATTTGTTCTTCCAATCGATGAGTATAGAATGTTTTTCTATTACTTTGTTTCTTCCTCAGTTTCTTTTATAAGTATTCCGTAGTTTTCAGAGTACAGCTC